ATTTTATGTAGTTTGTTTTGATTTTCATTTTACATTTGTCTTGAAGTTTACACAATTTTATTTTGTTTCTCCTGTTACATTTATCTTAAATTTTATGCACTTTTTCATGTTAACTGTTATCTTGCATTTTATGCATTTTTTTTCCAAGTAACATGTCTTTTTTATGCCATTTTTATGTAATGTTCATATTCGATCTTATGCATTTTTATTTTTTGTTACATTTATCTTGCATTTTATGCATTTTTATGTCGTTTCTTATGTTACATCGATCATGCATTTTATGCATTTTGATTTTCTTAGGTAAGCTTTATCTTGTTTTATGGATGTTTAGATATGTTTCAGGACAGCAAGACAGAAAATGATTTTTAGCAGTGAAATATCTCTCTTTTTGGGCACAGAGGCCACTGTGGTGTCTGTCTCACCTTCTGTTTTCCTAGTTTCGAGTAACAAAGGTGGTAGAATTACTATTGGATGGAAATATGCATATGGAAATTATGTCATGCATAGTAAAAAAAAGGCGTTGCTGCAGGGAGGCGGGGTGGAAAATCAAGCTTGTTCATGCACACACCATCTTCAGATATTTGCGCAAGTTAGATCGGAACGTAAATGTTTCATAAACAAAGTTTATGGCTCTAATGTTTTTGTGCTGTGCAAAGAAAAGTAACATATTTACACATAAAAACCTTCAGCTATATACTCTTAATAGGGGTTACAGTACAGTAGCATTGAAACTATACCAGAAAATACAGCTGTAGCACAAATGATCTTTAGAAAACACTTTTTACTCACCACTATATGAGCGGAGGTATTTTTAATCAGGCAATCCATAAACAGCCCTTTAGCACCACAGAAGACACAGTGCAGCACTTCAGGAAACTGGATCTCTTGCTGAGCTTCCTGATTGACCACACCTTTCACAAAAAGCTACAAGATGCATAACATATAAGTTGAGTAAACCCTCAGCAATTCTAATAGGAGACATTTCTATTGTAATTATAGCCTTTGAATCCTTAAACCAATACATGTGATGGGAAGACATGAACTAAGTCATGTCTGTTTTCATTGCACGTGCAGTTTTACAGCCATGCAACGTGATGCAATTAGATGTTGTTTATGTTGCTTAGACTTGTTTTTCCACATCATACAGGACTTTATAAGTAAATGTTGTTGTTTCACTTTAGGTACACAGAGTCTGTCTGACTAAGTCTAAAGTGTGTGAAGCACCTTCGCTGCCTGCACTTCTCTTCCAGTCCCCAGCAGCTGCAGCCAAATCTGTCCGCTCTGCGCAGACAGAGCGTCCTCTCCTCCGATACTCAGCTTCACTCCAAAGATTCGCTCGACGGTGGGCTGCAGTGTCACCAGCGCCCCCCTCAACACACCTGCACAGGTGAACTCATCCTCAACCTCCTGCTGGGATCCACAGCTGTTCAGAGTGAGACCTGAGAGAGCCATGATGCAACTCTCTGAAAGAGACGTGAGAAGGAACACGAATCAATGCTCATGATTCAGCATTACTGTACAGTAAGACCAACCCTGGACCAAGATGGAATATGATCAGTTCAGTTAAAGTTCAGTTTTCTACCGAAGGCCTCAAACAAAACTCTGAGTGCCTTTCAGAAGGTTTAATGCCGCTGGCAAATTCAGATTTGGGTTACTTGTATGATCACTATATGCACTGGCCAATCAAGTATATATTATTATTATTATTCAGTTATTCAAATATGACCGATTAAAGATTAAATGGTTCCATAATGTTTTTTTTTTTCTCAAAAGGATATTTGAGGAATGAGTGTAACAAAGAAAAGGTGTTTGAAAACCTTGAAACCCTGTGTATAATCATGTTTATAAACAGGAACAAACGTTCTTCCTGTAACGACTATATGTTTATCGGTTTTCCGCAGATTACAAACCACAAACAGACAAAACCATCAACAACATGCATTAATTTGGAGCTTAAGAAGAGATAGAACAAGAACAAGCAAATTGAAATACAAAAATATATAAAGTCCAATTTCAGAATATTAGCAGAAGTTCTAATCAATGAAATCCAAAAAGTATACTAATATTGGCGATCTCGGGGTCCAAATAATTTCTTCAAGCAACGTTTCATTCAAAGTTATCTGGTCTTTAATGGCGTTCTTTTTTCATTACTACTTAAAAGTTTCAGATGGTTTAGAGAACATCAAAAGTAATGTTTCCATAATGTTTGGAAAATAGTCAAATGGAACATCCCAGATAGCACACGTACGTCTGCGAGACGTCTGTTAAAGATCGCTTCATCTGGAAAGCATCTGCTGTGTACAAACATCTGATAGAGGTCTCCAAGATGTCAGTTTTACATTCATAAATATCTTAAAGACATCTTCTAAACGTCTTTTTGACATCTGATAGGAAACGTCCTATAGGTATGTATATCAGGGATCCCAGTAGTTTTCGCTAACCTTCAAACAACCAAAAAAAAAAAAAAAAAAGACAACACATCAAGTCACTGCACGTTTTGAGAGAACATTCAGAAATAACATTTTAGAACTTAAAGGGAACGTCAGCAAGACGTTCTTAGAACATATTTATTCAAGTACTATTCATACGGGTTTCGCAATTAAAATCGGCCAAACGATTAAATATCATAAAGTGACGATTAAATATTACAAACGATTAAATATCATAAAGTGACGATTAAATATTACAAACGATTAAATATTACAAGTGACTAAAACGAGATTCGTTTGACTACTAGAGGAACGAAACCGATTCCAAGAAAAACTCAACAATCTTGTTCATCTACAAAAACACAAGTACAAAACAGAAATATGCACTGCTTGTAGCACCGAGCGACAGTAAACAGGCGTTCTTACCATAATCGCGTGGACTTTAAACTGCGCTCTTTCGTCTGTTTACGAAGCGTCGCGATAAACAATCCGGATCGAGCGCGAGTCGGAACGCTCTTCTGCGATACTCCGGATTCAGTCTGAATTCAGTCCCGCTCGGTTATAAAAGGCTGCTTTTGGTTTAGAAATCGCCCGTAGTTTCGCAAGACTCGTTGGTCCACATTTTGGACGGGTCATGATGAGTGTTGATAAAATGAAACCAAAGGGAAACTTTGCGCTGATCTTCTTCCACCGTAACGAACGTAAAGAACGCGCATCGACAATCTACTGAAGCGCTTTAACGCTTGCTCACATTCATCTACAGCCGTGAAACACAGACACACGCGTGACATCTGATCAGAAACGATTTAAAAACACGTAATATAACTTAATATATATGAAAGTGCGTGAAGAATACACGGACGCAGACTTTATTATGGCTTTATGCAGATGCAGTCACATCGTGCGGGAATTTCCACTGACGTAAAAAGCCACATCCGTTTAAAGTCAACAGCAAACAGGTATAACCTACAAATAAAACTCCCAAGTCCATTGTAATTATCGACCGAAGTTGTTTTAAGCTAGGCACATATCTCACATTCTTTCTTTCTTACACGTTTCACTTATGCAGTAGGCTATCAGAATGGGGACAATTTATCGTTTTTAAACATATAACATGTTTTTAAACTTAACATTACTACTAATAACTGAATTTATACTTTTATTGAAGAAGATGTAAACATGCTACAGCATTTAAGATGAATATACAACATTAAAAACATATCAGTGAAACACTGTAGCTTTTCCTATTTTTAATTTAACAAAGAAATTAAAAAGTAGTGTGACGAAGAAAAGGCTGGGGGTTTGAAAACCCTATTAAAAAATGTACATAAAATTAGCATAGCTAACAGGGAACTTTCTCTCTCAAAGTTAGGAACAAACGTTCTTCCTGTAACGACGTTAATGGAACGTTCATTCAAAGTTATCTGGTGTTTACCAACGTTCTCAAAACTGTTATTTATACATCGGTTATGGAACGTTATTTGAAACATTTTAGATTCGCGTTTGTCTGATGTTTTTTAAACGATACTACTTCGTTTCAGACGGTTCAAAAGTAACATTCCTATAAAACAGAATATTCCTTTAATGTTTTCTCTAACAAAATAAAAAAAAGTGTTTTTTAAACATTTAATCCCTGTTGAAAAAACCAGCATATGTTGGTTAGGTATGTTTTGACGCTGGGATACTGGTTTAAGCTGGTCATTTGCTGGTTTAAGCTGGTTTATGCTGGCCCTTTGCTGGTTTAAGCTGGTTTATGCTGGCCCTTTGCTGGTTTATGCTGGTTCTTTGCTGGTTTAAGATGGTCCTTTGCTGGTTTAAGCTGGTTTATGCTGGCCCTTTGCTGGTTTATGCTGGTTCTTTGCTGGTTTAAGATGGTCCTTTGCTGGTTTATGCTGGTCCTTTGCTGGTTTATGCTGGTCCTTTGCTGGTTTAAGATGGTTTATGCTGGCCCTTTGCTGGTTTATGCTGGTCATGTGCTGGCAAAGGGCCAGCATAAACCAGCAAAGGGCCAGCATAAACCAGCAAAGGACCAGCATAAACCAGCAAAGGACCAGCTTAAACCAGCAAAGGACCAGCATAAACCAGCAAAGGGCCAGCATAAACCATCTTAAACCAGCAAAGGACCAGCATAAACAAGCAAAGGACCAGCATAAACCAGCAAAGGACCAGCTTAAACCAGCATCCCAGCGTCAAAACATACCTAACCAGCCTATGCTGGTTTTTTCAACAGGGATGGAAACGTTAGCACAATAAACATTATTGATACATCTTAGTTTCACGTTTGTTTCACTAGTTTCAGATGGTTCAGAGAAAATTCAAAAGTAACATTTGTTTGCAAAGTTCTAAAATGGAACTTTCTCCTAATGTTTAAAAGCTGTTTTTAAAACATTTAACGTTTGGAACTTTCAGAGAACATTCAAAAATAAGAGTTAAGAACTAATGGGAGCGATAGCAAAACGTTCTTGGGAGATATTTTTGTATAGTGGGTCCAATAAAGAAAGTGGCGTTGGGTTCCAGTGATCTGTCGGATGCAGATTTGAGCTCATGTGTGCTGAGAGCTGCGCTGCAGGTGCACAGGTGAGGTGCTGACGTACAGCACGCCGATCACCAGACAGGCTCTGATGGGGAAGTGAAAGGCGCTTCTCGATGTGGAAGCGTCGCCATTAACGAGGAACATTTCTAATCATTCTCCGGTTTAGCTGAGTAGATTCGGATGAGATGGGCGATAATTACTGCATGCGGTTGAAAGTGTTCGGTGATGAATGTCTGCGGTGCTGGAAGAACATCGGGTCCGGCGGGTTCGGCGATGTCTACCGGGCGAAGCACACGGCTCTGGGGATGGACGTGGCCATAAAGTTATTACATTATAAAGACGGGTAATCCTACAGCACAATATTTACCATGATAACCGTTACCTTTACATTGCCTAATCCAACCTTACTGTTGTAAAATTATTATACATTAATTTAGCCTTCAAACAGTATTAGATGAGATCTTTCTTTCATTTTGGTTGTTCGTTTTGTCGAATGGGGAGGCGTCGGGGCAAGTTGTCACACTGGGAAGTTGACTATATCACGTGACACAATGAAACCGCACTGACAGCCAAACATTAGGAGATATATCACTGTATAATGAGGGCAGATTTCAGAAATTTGGGCATTAATTTTTTAAGTAGAAAGACTGGTGTAGTATTTTTTTTTGTAAAACGTACTCCAATAATCTGTATTTACAGTTTTGATTTTTTTTTTTTTACAGCATAAAACATATTTTGCAGATGTTCCAGTAAATTTTTACAAGAAAATACTATTTCAGTCATTTTCCTTCAAAATTTCACGTTTAATTCACTGTTTTTGTTTTTTTTGCCGTTTCTTTGTAATTATTTGTGAAATTTACTCGCAATTTCTAAGTGAAAACTGTTTCAAAGTAAGTCCTACAGCCGTTTTTCTAGTCATTGTCAACGGATAGCAGGTTTCCATTGTGACAACTTACCCCAGCCAGTCCTGTTGGTCACCGGTCATCCCTACCAAATTACCACAGTTTTAATGTAGTAAAATCAGTATTTTGGCAGACCAAGATACTGTTACCATGGTAAACTTTTTAGTGGGTGTATATATATATATATTTACATTACTATATTTACATTTGAGTCTAGTGAAATTGTTTAAGAGATTAATTATTTAATAAAAATCAGGGCTGTCAGTCAATTACATTTTTTTAATCTAATTAATTACATGATGTTTCGATTAATTAATCTAATTAATCGCAATTGATAGCAAAATAAATTTGGCTGTGAAAATAGCCACAAAAGATTATTTAAAGCTATTTTCATGTTAAATGAGAAAGTATCAAGTAGTCATTACAAATTGTAGCTTTAGAAATATTTTATTTGATTCAACATAAAATTTATTACACATATTTAGGCTACAACAGCCGAACATAATCCATAATTTGAGAAACATCTCAGTATTTTTTGTTCATACAATGAAAGTCATAAAAAAGCAGCTTTGTACCAACAATCTTCAAAATACATTCTTTTATGTTCCACAAAAGAAAGTAAGTCATTCAGGTTTGAGTAAATGATGACAGAATTTTCTTTTTTTTGGGTGAACTATCGCTTTAATGTTTTTATTATTATTATCATTATTATTATTATTATTATTTTAAATAAGAAACTAAATCTGCCAGCAGGTGGCGGTAAATGTCTTTATGAGTCATTCATTCGAACGGCTGATTCATTCAGGAATGAAGTAAACGGCTCTCTTTATGAATGGGCTTTGAGTCATTGATTCACACGATTCGTTCAAAAAGCGGACTCATTCAGAAACCAAACAATGCTGTCCTGCTCGGAGACGCAAAACAATTCTGCTATGGCTTTAAAGGTAATATGTTCTCTGCAAAACTGAGCAAAAAGATGATATTGTGTTTAAAATATAACAATATTAACTTCTTATTTACTGAACTATTGAATAAAATCACATTTAAACTCGTGATATTCAGGACAGAAACGGCACTCGTCTGATACTGCTCTCGCTGCTCGTGTGATATCGCTTATCATATGATATAAATATGAGACAAAAACTAATACAGGGGCATTTTTACTCCAATATCTTGCGTTTTAGAGCATAACTTTGTTTATGGAGTTGTTGCCCTGCATCAAATTTGTCAACAGTCAACTGTATAAACTGTAAGATGACGTACAGATTTGGGGGCGGGGCCAGTGCGTTAAAATATTTTAATCGCGTTATTTTTTCATAACTAATTAAGTTAACGCGTTAAACTGACAGCCCTAATAAAAATACATTGTTGTTTGTTGTTGAAGCCATTCTTGGTTGATTCCCCTAAAAACGGTAAATGTTGAGGTGCTTTGGAAAACATTGATCTGTTTGTTTGAGCATCAGCATCACTGGCTCAACCAGCGAATTGTTGCAAATGTTGGCTTGTTTCTGTTTCTCGTCATGCAGCAGGTCGGCATCCTCCATTGAGAAAGAAGCTCTCCTGATGTTCCAGGGCGGGAATCCTAACATGATCAGGATCCTGGGTCTGTACGAGGGCCGTGTGGGCGAGGGCCGAGGGCTGGTGATGGAGTTCATGCCCAAGGGTTCGGTGGCCGATCTGCTGCAGACGCTGGCCGGGCCGCCGCCGTGGCCTCTGACCTTCCGCATGGCGCACCAGATCAGCCTGGGCATGAACTTCCTCCATCATCTAACTCCTCCGCTCCTGCATCTGGACCTCAAGCCCAGCAACGTGCTGCTGGACGACAGCCTCAGAGCCAAGGCCAGTGCACTTATATGTGACCCTGGAGCACAAATCCAGTCATAAGGGTCAATTTTTTTAAATTGAGATTTATGCATCATCTGAAAGCTGAATAAATAATCTTTCCATTGATGTATGGTTTGTTAGGACAGGACAATATTTGGCCGAGATACAACTATTTGAAAATCTGGAATCTGAGTGTGCAAAAAAATCTAAATATTGAGAAAATCATCTTTAAAGTTGTTCAAATTAAGTTCTTAGCAATGCATATTACTAATCAAAAATTAAGTTTTTAATATTTACGGTAGGAAATTAACTAAATATCTTCATGGAGCATGATCTTTACTTAATATCCTAATGATTTTTGGCATAAAAGAAAAATGTATAATTTTGACCCATACAATGTATTGTTGGCTATTGCTACAAATATACCCCAGCGACTTAAGACATAATAGTGCCCTATGAAGTGTTTTCTCAAATTCAGTATTATTTTTCTCCACGTTATATTTTCCCTTTTCATTTTTCTGGATTCCGTTTTAACGGTTTAATTGAGTTTTAATAATCAAAAAAGGATGTCTAATCAGTTGAATTCATAAAACTTACCAATTTAATAATGTATTACATTTTTAACAATAATAACACCCTATGAAATTTTTTATTTTCTCAAATTCAGTTTTATTTTTCTCGAAATTCTGTTTACCTTTCTCATTTTTTTCTGGATTGTGTTTTAATGTTTTAATATATATATATATATATATGATCAGTTGAATTCATAGAACTTGAACAACTTATCATTTATTAATTTTCTAAACAACAATAGTGCACTTTGATTTTTGTTTTTCCAAATTATGTGTTATTTTCCCCAAAATTCTCTTTTCCCTTTCCTTTTTTTTTCTGGATTCTGTTTTAATGGTTTAAATTAATTTTAATTATCAAGAAATGATGTCTAATCAGTTGAATTCATAAAACCTTAACAATTTCATCATTTATTTACCTCATAAGAATCATAGGGCCCATATGAAATGTTTTATTGTTTTGTGAAGTTCTGAGTTGTCAGTTTTTTGTAAAATTTTCTGGATTCTGTGTTTTATGATTTAATATTAGAAACGTTAATTCGGTAATCAAATCAGCTGTAACCATTTACGTAATCCTTTAATTTGTAATTAAATCGTTTGCAGTCACTGCACAACAGAGATTTACGATTAAATTAAAACAATTTCTAATTGTGTGATATTCCTTTAAAAAACTCTTATTTTTATTATTACCACTACTACTTTGAGGAGAACATTCTACTACAGTGTTATTAAATGAATTATTTCAGCTCTACACCACTTCTTTCAGTTGGATGGAAATTTAATTCAGGTCAAAATGAGGTATTTACATGAAGCTTTGTCGTTTCAGAGCCTTGTTAAAAAAACACGTCTGTCTCTTGACTCAACAAATGTAATATCTCTTCTAGAATTAAAATCTGTGTCCATATCAGCTTAAGGTGAAAGATTCCCTAGAAGCGTGATTATTAGTCCCCTTTGAGCTAAATTCACATTGTGTTTGAAAGCAGTGTGTGGAAGAGGCCCAACGCATCAGACTGTATTTAACCCTCTCTGTTTCTGTGCGTCCCGCAGCTCACAGATTTCGGTCTGTCCCGAGTGGCTCGAAGCGTTTCTAGATGCTCCGGACAGAAAGACGAGGATGAGGGAGGAACGCTGAGCTACATGCCTCCTGAAGCGCTGCAGTCCGTCCATTACAAAGCCAACAAAGCCTCCGACGTCTACAGGTAACCAGAGGAGCATCAGAAACACTGAAGCACAGCTTCTTTAAACATGTTCTTAACCTCACCAGCGCTGCATTTATTTGATCAAACATACAGTGAACAGTGAAATATTATTCTAATGTAAAATAGCTGTTTTTTGTATGCGTTAAACTGTAATTTATTCCTGTGATGCGCAGAAAAAAACAAAAACATTTCTGATTATTATCAGTGTTGAACACAGTTGTGCTGCACAATATTTTAGTGGAAACTGTGATACATTGTATTTCTCAGGATTCACAGATGAACAGAAAGTTCAAAAGAACAGCATTTATTTGAAACAGAAATCCTTTCTAACATTCTAAAACTGTCTTAACTGTCACTTTTGAACAATTTAATGCATCCTTCATGAATAAAAGTATGAATTTCTTTTTTAAAAAACCTTTAAAAATGTTAGTGTGATGTTGAAATACCTGTAACTTCTGCAGTGAATGTGCAAAGATTTCAAAGTTTTGAATGTTACCGTATTACTACAATAATGCCCTTTTTATTAATCTATTAATTCACTGAAATTTCAAATTATACAAGAACTACAGCAAACCAGTGTAACACAAGAAAAAATGTATTTTATCAATATTTACAAGAAATTTTATTTGAGTATATCATTATATCATATTATAATGTTATATTATATATATCATTGTCATTATTATTATATTATATTATCATTATTATTATGAAATTTATAGGAACATAGAATATGAAAGTTAGAATTATGAACTCCATTGACTTATTAAAATTCCTTTGAATTCATTACTCAAAAGTTATGAAACCTACATGTTGTTTTTCTAACAAAACAACATCAAAACGACATAAATATTACTCTGGAATGTTTTTGATCCAAATATATTAATTTTACTTGAATAAACGTTTACTTTGAGATGAAAAAAAGATCACCAGTGTGAATCTGCAGTGCTTGTGGGCTGTTGTTCATTCGATATAGTTTATTTGTCATGTCAGCTACATCGTTTGTCTGTTTATAATGACTATAAAGAGGCTAAGAGGCTCAATGTATCGTACAGAAGCAATTTGAGACAAATCTAACTAATGGATATATATATAAAAAAAAAATGTATGCATGTTTATATATATATATACAGTGGGTACGGAAAGTATTCAGACCCCCTTAAATTTTTCACTCTTTGTGACATAATTTTAAGTGTGCAGCCACAGTTCACTTCTGGGGCAAAAATGACACGAAAGTGTAAAAATGTGGTTTAAATGGATATATCTCTTAAAAAAATATTTAAAAAATTCTGAAAAAATACATGTGTATTTTGAAAATTGCAATCCATATGCAATGTTATTTTATTATGATTTTTTTTTATGTACCACTTCAAAACTGGCTCGAATGCAAAAGGTGTTACACTTTAGTGTAAATGGTTATATCACTTAAAAAATATATTTTTAAAAATCTGAAAAAAAAATGCTGTGTATTTTAACAGTCTTAATCCATATGCAAAGTTTTTTTCTGTACTACAAACAAAGATTTTTTTTTTCAGAAAATTTTATGTACTGCTTTAAAACTGATCCGAGTGCAAAAGGTGAAACAATTTAGATTAAATGGTTAAATATCTTTAAAAAGTATTTAAAAAAATCAGAAAATAAATAAATAAATGATCGTTTTAATCCTTATGCACAGATTTTTTTCTGTACTAAAAATGCAGAATTTGTAGAATTTTTTCTGCATCGCTTCTGAGCCGATCAGACGCATGTACTCGTTTGTGACTGAGATGAAAATGTGATAATCAGTGTTTTGTGAACGGTCTGCTCTGCAGTTACGGCGTCCTGCTGTGGTCCATGGTCACCGGGAGAGAGCCGTACAGCGGTAAGCGTTCTTCAGCTGCTCTCTGGTTCTCATCCGCACCAGTGTCTCACTCGTGTCTGTCCTGCAGATGCTGGGTCCAGTCTGGTGCGCTTCCGGATCCCTCAGGGGGACAGACCTGACCTGACGTGGATAGACCGCTGCCAGACTGAGGGTCTGGATGATATGGTGAAGCTCATGACTGAGTGCTGGCATCAGGACCCCGACAGGAGACCGTCGTTCCTCTGTGAGACTCGAACCCAATCCCTTCACCATGAGAATCAGCCTCGACGTCTTCTCACCGCACTGTCTCCTGTTTTCAGGTTGTGTTAATGAGACCGAGAAGATCTTTAGTATGCACAAACACGGACTCAATGAAGCCGTCTATGATGTTCTGAAGCTGCTGGTACAGTTGATTTTTTGTTGTATTCACCATTTCCGTCAAATGATGGAACTAAAACTGGTTGCGAATGGCGTAAACGCTTAAATATATCCAAACGCCAGTTTGCAAGAAAAATAAAATTCACTGAACCCTTATTTGTATCCTCAGTTAACCCTATCTTCTCTCACACGCAGGATAATGATGATGATGATGATGTCTGTTCCGGTTTGAAATCAATCCAGATCAGCCACAAACCACTCAATGGTATTAAATCTTGACTAAATATATATAAACCCTAAACTTATTTTATTTCAGCTATTTGCCAAAGCAGCTTTTAACTTAATTCTTATTTTGATTTAGTTTAACTTAAACCACTAAAATATCTAAAACTAAATAAGTTAAAACTATTAAGTAAAATAAATAAAAACTCTATAGACCTATGTAAAAATGAATAAATAAATACAATAAAAAATGACAAAAACATACAACAAAATGACTACAACTTTAACTAAAATTGAAGGCAAAACAACTGTTCTGGATACAGAACAAAACTGTGATATTTTAGTACCACTGAGATAATATTATTCGTTTTTGATACATTTTGTTATTAGAATTTATATATATATTAGGGTTGCAAAAAGGTGGAAAATTTCCAGGATTTTTTGGAATATTCCAGGGATTTTGGGAAAGTTTCCGGAAATTTACAAGAAATTTTCCAACCCTTTGCAACCCTAATATATATATATATATATATATATATATATATATATGTAATCTAATAACAAAACGTAACAAAAACTAATAATATTATCTCAGTGGTACTAACATATCACAGTTTTGTTCTGTTTCCATAAAGGAAGCATGTTAAATGTACAGAAATCCCTTTATGAATTGGTATTATTATAATGGTTTGAATATGACGTCAATATGAAATCTAAATCAACCCTGTTCTCCTGGATTTATTGTGGGTTTTAATGATGCCAAAAAACTTGTTTGTTTTGGCATCATCATCAATCCCTCTTATTTTACAATCACCATGCAATCGATTCCTGATGGATAAAATCAAGTCCTGCTCTACTCTACATTTGTTATTTAATGAACATTATGGACGTCAAATGTGTTTATAAAGCTGTTTTATCTCTTTGATCATCTTTGTGTTTCAGAAGCTCGTCCTCAGGGTTCGTCCTGCGTCACCGGACCGCCTCCTAAACAGGTATCTAATGTGACTTCTGTAGAAAACAAATTATACTTAAACTTGATTAAAATTCAAATCTTAACACTCTTAACTAATTAAAATAAATTAGCATGATTGATTTAATAAACATTACATTGATTTATTAAAGCAGTAAGCCCCGTGAAGCCGTGGTTTACAGTGAGTTTATAACAGCTAAGGGGCGTTGTTAGGTACGACGCGAAGCTGTTATAAATTCACTGTAAACCACGGCTTCACGGGGCTTATTGCTTTTATAAAACGCTTATTCCATATACGTAGTAAAGTTTAACAAAATAAAACAGAGCAAATAAAGTGTAATGATATTAATAAAAACAGTATTCTTCCACCAAACAATGTAGCTCCTCAGAAACAGTTGTGGTTGCAACAAAGTGGTTGCCGAGCAACAGACAAACGTAAACAAAGGTGTATGTTACTTTGTAGAGTAATTTACAACAGCTTCGAACGCGGCTCAGCCAATCAGAATCAAGCACCGGAACTATCTGTTTTATAATATTTATTTTAAATAAATTGTGAAAAATTGTATTTTTCTTACTAATTGTGCTCATAAAGCTCAACTGTCAGCTCATACTGTTTACAAAGACCTTTGTAGTATATTAACCAGTCACAGTGTAATTCAGAGCGGTTTAATTATTAATATTACTACATTTTCGGTTTACTTGTTAATTGTTTTTAAAGGTCTTGACTATAAATGTATATAAAATGTATTAAAAAAATTCCAATTCTAATCTATTCTAATTCTATTATTTAAAAAAAACGTTCCCCTTTTAGACTTGCATTCTATTCATTTACTAACTGCATAGCAACACCTTAGCAACCGCCCGTGGTACCCTAGCAACCGCATAGCAACAGCCCCGGGTACCCTAGCAACCGCATAGCAACACCCTAGCAACCAACCAGTGTACCCTATCAACCGCATAGCAACACCTTAGCAACCGCCCTGGGTACCCTAGCAACCGCACAGCAACAGCCCTGGGTACCCTAGCAACTGCATAGCAACACCCTAACAACCACCCCGGGTACCCTAGCAACCGCATAGCAAAACCCTAGCAACCGACCCGGGTACCTTAGCAACCGTATAGCTAAACCCTAGCAACTGCCTTAGCAACCACCCCAAGTACCCTAGCAACCGCATAGCAACACCCTAGCAACCACCACAGTTTGCCTAGCAACCGTCATAGCAACCACTCTAAGTACCCTAGCAACCACCCCAGTTAGCCTAGCAACCATCATAGCAACCACTCCAAGTACCCTAACAACCACCTAGAATACCCTAGCAACCACTCTGAGGTCCTTAGCATCTATCTATCTATCATCTGACTGTATTGCCTTCAAAACATTTAAACTTTAAGCTTTTAAAACAACGTTAAACTTCAAACTATTTCAGACTGAAAACCATCAAACTTAAAACTTTAAACTTCTTAAACTTTTCAAACTTTTTCAAACTTTCTGGTCCGGCTTTCTCAAGCCAACTTAAAGTTTGTCTTGACGAACTTTTTTATCTAGTTATTATTATTATTACATTTTCGGTTTACTTGTTACTTGTTTTTAAAGGTCTTGACTATAAATGTATATAAAATGTATTTTAAAATTTCTAATTCTAATCTATTCTTTAAAAAATAAACTTTCCCCTTTTAGACCTGCACTCTATTCATTTACTAACTGCTTGTTGTCTTAAAAAACAAACACTAGCTTCTCTAATCTTTTTGTATTCTGTCTATTTGTTTTCTTTTTTATTTATTATACAATTAACAAAAGCAAAAAAAAAGGCCTCTAACACTAACTTGCTCTATTCTTTTTCTATTCTGTTTACTTTTCATTTATTATATAATAAAAAAACCCTTGCTACGTGTACTGCATTAAGCTAACTGAGACTTGTTATAGCACTTGCGTATTATTGCTCTTTTGTTGATTTCTATTGCTTCCATTGTCCTCATTTGTAAGTCGCTTTGGATAAAAGCATCTGCTAAATGACTAAATGTAATGTAAATGTAAAAAATAAATGTATATCGTCTGAGGATGTGTATTAACTAATATGTTGTCTTGTAGGAAACAGCTGTCAGTAACACAAAACCCACAAAGACAGGTAATCTGAGCAGCAGAGATGCATTAGGATGATTTCTATGCTTTGTTTGGTGCTGAACGCATTTGTTTGTTGTTGTTTCTCACAGAATCATCTCCTCGTCCTGCTCCGCTGGTGACGCCTGTCAGAACAACACAGGTCTGAAACAATCAATCAAACACATACGGTTCATATATCACTGACCTCTTCTGTCCTAACACACGCTGTGTGCTTGTGTTTCCTCTCACAGCGGCAAACTTCAACACCAGGTCAGTTTTACACGGCTTCATCTCACTCTGAGGGGAAATGTAGCTGGCACATTTAATGATAAACGCTAACTTGTAAGCAGGGCTGTTGATGGTTATTTACAATAACACAAAGTATAAAAAAACAAAATAAATAAATGTATAAATATTAATTAATTAAAATAATGCAATATAAAAATGCACCCGTCTCCTGATCCGTACACTATTAACATGGAGGAAAACCAAGACTGAAGTAGCACATCTGCGATTCTTTATTTGCAGTCCTTTCTCGATACGTACACACTTTGATGAATTATTCATCTTAATTCAGTTGTGAAGAACACAAATAACATGATAATCTTTGTCGATCATCATACACCTGCAGAACAAATAATTACGTAAGCTTGTTTCTGCTACAGAATAAAAAATAAAAAAAGGTAATTGCAATTTTTTTTATCTTACAATTTGGACTTTTTTCTTGTAATTTTAAGAAAATGTCAGAACTGCGGGATATAAACTCCTGATTGCAAGAAGAAAAGTCAGAATTTTGAGATTTTATATATATATATTAGTGCTGTCAAACGATTAATCGCAGCCAAAATAAAAGTTTTTCTTTACATAATATATGTATGTGTACTGTGTATATTTATTATGTATATATAAATAAACACACATGCATGTATATATTTAAGAAAAATATGTTACGTTTATATATTAAATACATTTATATATGATATAAATTATATGAATATAAATATATACATGTAAATACATGTAAATATTTTCAAAATATATGCTGTATGTGTGTGTGTTTATATATACATAATAAATATACACGATAAACACATGTATTATATAAACAAAAACTTTTATTTTGAATGTGTTTAATCGCGATTAATTGTTTGACAGCACTAATATACTGTATATATATATACAATTCAAGTTTATTTGTATAGCGCTTTTCACGATACAAATCGTTGCAAAGCAACTTTACAGAAAATTAAGTTTCTACAATATGTTTAGTAGTAGCTTATCAGTGGTGACTGTCAGTTAATGTACATATGGCAGAAATGTATATATATATATATATATATTTTTTTTTATTACCTCATCTTATATTCCTGAGAGATTTTTTTTTCCTTTTTATTGCCTGGAGGAAACTGGCTTCCATTCATAATAGCTTAGCGTATTTGTTTTGTAGTAGAGTTCAGAGTAGAGTTCAGAGTAGAGTTGCTTTTTATTCACAAAAAAAAAATGCCTTTATGGTCAGAAGTCAAGAGATTGAGTAAGAATACCGCACTTCTGCCTCTAGATGGAGCGAGTCCTTTAGATCCTCAGTCGTGATAGATTTGGACAAAACCGTGACTCTGCGTCTCACTCATCCGTCTCTCTGCTCTCCTCTCAGGCGGCGTTCAGATCACCATGTCAAACGTCTATGGAGTTCAGATCGGCAACAACAACATCATGAATATGGTTCAGAGGCCGCGGCAGAGACACCGAACGGCTCCTTCCAGAGTCAGCACGTCTTATTCCCACTCAGAGAACTCACAGAATAAACCACAGTGACCTCTGCACACTCTCTCTGCAGCAATCCGCTCTCGTTCCAGTGAAGTGTTTAGAGTCACAAACTATTCCTGTGACTCAAAGGGCTGGACACTCAAAAAACATCCAGGCCTAAATGTCAATGTGATGTGTTTGAATTGCTTATAAAATGTCCATCCATTTGGATCACACAGTTTTAACATAAACTAACTAATAAACTTAATGTGATGCATACTTGTCAGTCATACATAAGCAAAGCAGGTCAGATTAATAATAAACTATGCAATGTTTTTGTTGCTTGTAATAAACATATTTTATTCAGTTAAATCAATGTTTAAGTTAAACATTGAGAAAAAAAATATGTATATAAATTAAAATACATATGTAAATGTTTTAATATTCTAGTTCTCAATTCCATTTAGTTTAACCTGATGTACTTAACACTAAAACTTAAATAAAAATGAATAAACTGTATAGACGTTTTAAACACAATAACTAATAAAAATAACAAAAACAACAAAGTTACTAAAACTTTAATTACCTGTTTCTGATGTTTCACTTCTGTCTGATTGACAAATATGGATCAATTAATCTTAATCCAACAGTATTAATCCAAATAGTGTTAATCTAAATGAATGGAAATTTTATATGCAATTCAAATACATAAATCTTGAATGGCGGTGAAACTTGTGAAGAACATATCCAACTCAAGCTTTACCTATAGGTTTTGCATACAGAAAATCTATTTTTAAGACCACTATTTTTTGCATTGTGACATTTTCAAGACCGTTAGATTTATTTAAACATTATCCAATTGCCAATAGATACCGCAATTAATAATAATAAAAAAATAGGTTTCATAACTTTAATGTGAAATATATTTACATTTTGAAATACACATCATGGTAGTGATTAATGTACTGAATTTTATTCATGCTGATTTTAAGGGTAAGGTGTACTTTATTGTCCCTGTCGAATATCATCTCAGTTTTCTTCACATTCACAATTAGGTGGTGGGCATCACACCACTCTATAAACTGACTGATTTCAGAGTGGTAAGACAAAATGTCTTGATCTTTATATAATAAGTTAAGGATAGCGGTGCCATCACTAAATTTCACAGTGTGATTATTATTATTTTTGTGTATAATGTGAAGAGAACTGGGGAGCGTACACACCCTTGAGGTACTCCTGTACAAATAATGCATTGTAAGTCAGAGATCATCTTATTGACCTTAACCTGTTGGGTTCTGCCCGTTATGAAAGAAAAAAAACCATCTTATAATATAAGGATTTACATCCATGTGTTTCAATTTCTCCAATAATAAATACAGTTGCACAGTGTTAAAAGCTGAGCTAAAATCAATAAAAAGAAGACGTGCATATGCCTTTGAGTCCTCCAGATAATACTCCCTACTGTATCTTCCGCACTCCTGCCCTGTTTATAAGCAAACTGCCATGGATCTAGTTTTGAGGATACTTCACTTTTCAATATAGACACAATGTATTTCTCAAAGCATTTCATTACGATTGAAGTTAGTGCTACGGGTCTAAAATCATTGTTCTCAGAAGGATGGGGCTTTTTTTGGGATTGGAGTAATCACCGATCTTTTCCAGAGTGCAGGGACTCTATGCAAGTCCAGTGAATGCTGAAAAAGCGTACAGGTTTTCAAAAGTCGTGCAGAAATCCCATCAGGCCCTGTAGATTTATTAGCTGTTGGAACAATGATTGCACCTTAGAACTGTCTGCCTCTAATCTAGTGCCCGTATCTTCTGTCAGAGAACCTATAACAGATTCACATCTCTCAGAGAAATCATAGAAGTCATTCAGTTCATTAGCTTTCTGTAAATCATCAGTTGTATCTATATGTGGTCTCCTTGAATCCATATTAGTAACAGCCTTCATTGTATTCCATAATTTTTTAGAATTTGAAGTTAAAAACTGATGTTCAATAATATAATTTTGTCGTCCCCTTGCTTCCTTTAGTTGATAGTCAAGCTCTTTTTGTATAATTTTCAGCCCCACATAATCTTTGTTCTTGAATGCAACCTTTTTCCTGTTAATACAATTCTTAAGTTCTTTAGTTATATGGTAACATTCTTTTTAGTGAGTACATTGTCCACACGTTATTGTCTCTGTCGTTGTATCAATGTCCACATTGGTAAAAACATCCCAGTCTGTGCAAAGAAAACATCCTTTAAGTCTTTCTATGGCATCATCCGACCATACCGTTATTTCCTTCACATATGCTTTACTATGTTTAAGCATAGTCTTATAGATGGATGGTGTAATGGCGGTGGTTTCGATCTGGCCGCATAAGCTTTTTTTTACATTTCCGTAGCACTTATCTAGGATTCTGTCCTTACGTGTTCCACATGTTATACAGGTGCATCTCAATAAATTAGAATGTCGTGGAAAAGTTCATTTATTTCAGTATGTTCAAACCTGGGCAAGAACAGTTCGAGCTTGTAATGGTTAAAATCGGCTAAAATAAAAACAGGAGCGTCTGGTGAGCATTGTAATTGTTGGTGAACACAATCCGCGACATACTCTGCTGCTCTCACCGCATTTCCACTAGGGGGTACATAGACCGCACAAACAACAATGCTTCCAAACTCCCTCGGTAGATAAAAGATTTCACGACTTTATTAGAGCGACAGCTGCATTAAATTAATGACAGTAATGTAAAAATGTGATTAATTGTCACATTGAAAAAAAAATTAATGGTCCTAAAAATATGATTAATTTTCTTTATCCTAAATAAAAAAAAAATTCTTTTGATTTTGGAGTGAAATTAACATACGATACTGAATTCTTTAATATATGAGATTCGGATCAGGTTCAACCGGCTGCTTTTACTGAAGACTGTGCTACACGCGACAATCAACTAACGTTACTGTAACTAGCTAACAAAGTACTTTGCTTACCTTTAAATAAATTTGCACATATTTTTCCAAGATATGACTACATTTATTGGATATTTCCTTCGTTTCATTAGATGAAGTGCATATTGTGTGTAATATGATGTTATGTTTCACGTGGTCACGTGTGTATGACCGCTGTCATATTCGTCCTTTATGTGGGTTTCTTTCAGTGAGTGTGGGCTAATGAATTCACTGCAGACAGACTCACAGCCACACCATGTTTCCTGCAAATCATGTCTTTTAATTACAAACCACACCTCTTTTAAGACAACCCGACAGAGGTCATACACACGTGACCACGTGAAACATAGATACAAAGATCCAACTGATTGGGTAAATAGCCTAGTGATTACAGAGAAAAAGAATGGAGCTTTACGAGTGTGTTTGGATGGGTACTGGCAAGTAAAGTTAGACGAACCGTCATCCATGCTGTGCACCTTCAGTACACCCTGGGGAAGGTATCGTTTCTTGAGACTTCCGTTTGGAATTAAATCAGCAAGTGAAGTCTTCCAATGAAAGAATAGTGAAGTTCTTGGAGACATTGAGGGGGTGCATATCATAGCTGATGATATGATTATTGCTGCATCATCAGAGCAAGAACATGACGAGATTTTACGTCAAGTGATGGAGAGAGCAAAAAAGTCCAATGTTAAGTTCAATAAGGACAAGCTGCAATACAAGGTTCACACTGTCATGTATATGGGACATCTTATCACCTCAGAAGGGGTAAAACCTGATGGAGACAAAGTTGAAGAAATTATTAAAATGCCACCACCAGAGAATAAGGCGGCGTTTCAGAGATTTCTGGGAATGACCAGGTATTTATCCCAGTATATCCAAAATGAAGCAACATTAACGGCTCCCTTAAGGTATTTGTTGAGAGAAGAAGCTGACTGGCAGTGGAGCCCTGAGCATGATAAGGCTTTAGAAAATCTCAAGGTAGCTTTAACTCAAGCACCAGTCCTTAACTATTATGACCCAGCCAAACCATTGGTTATTCAAGCTGATGCATCAAAGGATGGATTAGGAGCTGTGCTTATGCAAGATGGGCATCCCTTGTATTACAGTTCGCGGGCATTGACAGACACTGAGAAAAATTATTCACAAATTGAAAAAGAGATGCTTGCCATTGTGTTTGCTGTCAAGTATTTTCATCAGTATGTGTATGGTTAAGGAGTAACAGTGCAGTCTGATCACAAGCCACTGGAGGCTATTTTTCGAAAACCATTGAATAAAGCACCAGCAAGATTGCAACGAATGCTTCTTCGAGTACAAGGCTATGATCTGAGGATTCAGTACACGCCAGGTAATTGCATGATGATTGCAGACATTGTCACGAGCAACAGTGAGAAAACAAGAGGTTGAGGATAACGAAAACCTGTTTCAGGAAAAAGTGGTGTATTCACTAGAAGCCACTGATTCTCTAAGTTCAGAAATGTTGAAACAACTAAAAGAGTTGAGTCAAATGGATGAGGTCCTGCGAGCCATAAAAGAGGCTCATGTGAGTGGCTGGGGCAAGCAATGCAGCAAGTTAAAGGAAAAATTGCACAAATTCTGGCCAGTGCGACCTATCATCAGTATGCAGAATGATGTGCTAATGATGGGAGATAGGATCATCATTCCAGAGAAATTGAAGTCTGCTGTGTTACAGAAGTTACACATTGGACATCAAAGTGTACAACGGACTAAAGCACAAGCAAGACAAGTTGTTTTTTGGCCTGGTATGGCGAAGGATATTGCGAGCATGGTGAGCAAATGTAGCACATGTCAGAAGTTCCAACTTCAAAATCAAAGAGAACCTCTTCAATCACATGACATCCCTGATGTTCCTTGGTTAAAGCTTGGAGCAGACATCTTTGAATTGCAAGGTCAGTCTTTTCTGCTGTTAGTTGACTATATGACTAAATATCCAGAAGTGTTACATTTGAGAGATAAATCTACTCGTTCAGTCATACAAGTTATGAAAGCAGCATTTGCAAAATATGGCATACCAAAAGAAATTGTGAGTGATCATGTACCATTTGCAAGTCAAGAAATGAGAAAGTTTGCTAATATGTGGGGAATTAAGCTTGTGTTTTCCAGTCCAGGATATCCACAATCAAATGGACTTGCTGAGCGAACAGTACAAACTGTGTTCTGGAGAGGATATACCACGGCTTTGTTGTCACTACTGAATACACCAGTTACAGGATTAAGTATATCTCCAGCACAAATGTTGATGGGACGAATTCTTTGCAGTACTGTACCGTGTTCCACCAAGATGTTGCGACAAAGATCTTTTGTGCAGGAGCACAGTAGATTGTTCGATCTACAAGCTCGTCAAAAGAGGTACTATGATTTCAAATCTAGAAGTTTGCCAGGACTCGGAGTTGGTGACACTGTACATATGAGAACGCAAGAAGGATGGTAACCAGCAACCGTACTCTCTAATGGCGCTTTTCCACTGCGTGGTACGACTCGACTCGGTTTGCGTTTCCACTGCAGTTCAGTACTGCTTTAGAGTGGGGGGGATTATTCACATGTGGTTATAGTTGCGTCGCCTCTATTGCCGCGACTCCTGAAAAACGTTTTCATTCCGTGTCGCCCCATCAAGCTCTCGCTGGATCCGCTCCTCTGCTATCAACGAGGAGTTTACACGTCACGTTTTGGTAATGGTACGGTTCACCTGGAACCAGAGTTGCCGAGTCCGCGTATTATAATCTTTTTTTGTAAAGTTGCTTGAAAAAATCCTGGGTTGTGGTTTTTTGGGCTTATTTTAAAAAATATGGTTGCTTGTTAGGAAAACCTGACAAGCAACTTCGTTTCTTTTCATTTATGTTCACTGTATTCTCCAATGCATTGATTGACACTCTGTCTGCTCACAGTTAATAGCCAATCAGTGCAAAAATATAAGTGCTGTAGCGTAATTTGTCCAATATTCCGCCCCCTCCGCCTTTTTGAACGTGATTTTTCTTCAATGAGGGATTGAAGAAAAATCACGTTCAAAAAGAAGGCGCGTGACGCTGTAATCCAAGCGATGATAGTAGTAGACGTAGAAGAGTGGGATGACTTTTTTTCCTTTATAAAGCAGTCTAATTTTAAATTTTTACAATGTTTTTGTAATGTATTAATTATCACGGGCTGTAAAAAACAAACAAACAAAAAAAAACAAGTAGGCCTATACAAATACTAAGAGTAGATTTGGTTCGAATAGCCAATATTTTAGTAGGCTATAAATATGTGGCTATGTTACAGTTCCCCTTTGAAGCTCTAGTGTTTTTCTCCTTTTCCATCTGTCCAATCATATTCTGCTCACAGGTGATTGGAGATGAGTTTTGTTCCTGCTTTGTTGCAGTTTGCTGATTTTTGTAAAATAACTCATGTTTTTGCTTTTCAGATAAAAGGGTAGTTTCAGTTTAACATGTTGCGGGCTCATTTATTGGTAATAAATAATTGATAATAAATAATATTGATGATAATAAATTATCAAAAAATATTGGGCTTGTTTTGGGCTTGTTTTTGAAGCTGCGGTTGCTATTTGACTGGCCAGAGTTGGCAACAGTGCTTGGAACCTCAACCGAGGTGGTACTAAAAAAAGTACCAGGTACTGTACCCAGAGGAAAACCCCCAAAAGTGAACCGTAAGAGCCATAAGAGAGAGGAGCCACGTTCTTACAGTGTGCAGTCACCAAGTGGTCAGATCTTCAGAAGAAATAGACGTCATTTGAGAAGGATTCACCCAGAGGTATTCAGAGCTGTAGCTGCTGAATCAAATCCATGTAGTAATGATGATCTATTTGTTGCAGAGGGACCAGAACAGTCTAATGTCAAAAACATCAGTATCTAATGAAACGCTGGAACCAACTGAACAAGTTACTTTGCCTAGTGTCACTGATGAATCAATGTTTCACGTGGTCACGTTGTCTTAAAAGAGGTGTGGTTTGTAATTAAAAGACACATGATTTGCAGGAAGCATGGTGTGGCTGCGAGTCTGTCTGCAGTGAATTCATTAGCCCACAATCACTGAAAGAAACCCACATAAAGGACGAATATGACATTTTGAATCACGTGGCGCGGAGGATCCATCTCGCTAATCAGGAATGACAGTTCATGCGGGAATCTGGCATCCATAACCTTCCCAATCCCACCTCTCCATCTGTCCCACCGGAATCTAACGGGCACGGATCTCTCCCGGTGATCTGGACAAAATGCCGTGGAATGAGTGGGTGGATGCAGAAATAACTGATGGTAGTTCCCTTCAAAACCATCGTCAGGTCGGAAAAGGCATTTAGACACGCATTTAATATGCTATTTTATACACAAGTGCATTTTTGCTGTGCTTGTTAAAGCTGCGCTGTGTATTTCTGAACTAGAACTCCACTCAACGCAATCTTGGGAATTCGTAACTTTTTTACGCTTTGGCTACCTTGTGGTGAAGAGAAGTTAGGAATGGACCTTAAAGGGACAGTTCACTGAAAAATGAAAATTGTCTCATCATTTACTCACCCTAAAGTTGTTCCAAACCTGTTTGAGTTTCTTTCTTCTGTTAAACTCAAAAGAATATATTGTGAAGAATGTTGGCAACCAGACAGTCGACGGTAGCCGTAGTGTTTTATTTCCATACTATGCAAGTCAATGGCTAGTTACCAACATTCTTCAAAATATCTTCAGAGCTACCTCTTTAAGGCTTCCTTTTTTTGTAAAATTGTATGTTTTCGTATGATTCACACCACGGATATTTGAAGCCAGAGAAGAGCGTGTACATTGGCTTTCAGACCTGCTGTTGAAGTGTTTTTTTGGCTCTGACGTCTGTAGCCAGAACAACAGATGGCAGATAATGATGATAAATAGACTCTGCAGCCACTTGTGTCCATTTACACTGACCTTATGGCAGAATGAAACCAGATGAATCAGGAGTCGTGTTACAGGTGAATAAGATAAGAAATAACTAGTAGTTTTCAGCACACTTCCCTTGTTGATTAATCACAGTAAAGTAAGACAGTTGTTTTGTATTACTAGTTTTCTAAAACATTGTTTAAATATTCAAATAATTAAATATTTATACATAATAAAACATGCACTACTTTGCATACATTTCCAGAACATGAATCTACACACTTTAAAAGTCTTGTTTGATTTTGTTTGCATACTATTATAGTTAAAGGTTTTTCCAGAGGGGATTCTGGATTTCTCTTTTTATTACTCCATAAATCAGAAAATGCTGTCAACAGACAGAAAACAAATAGGCCAATTTACCAATAGGAATAAAATGTTGTATAAAATCAGGCAAATGACAAATGAACAAACCCCTCAGTAAAATCCCTCAGAATATAGATATGAATAACACTGCTAAGTTTGGTGTCTGTAAGTGTTACTGATTTGGAGAAACAAACTCATTTTGAGGAAAAACAGCCTTTAAAGATATGTACTGTAATTGAAATCCACAGACGCAAGCAGATGAAGTGAAGTAAGATAAACACTTATAATGTGTATTTTTGGATGTTATACTAGCCTGAAAGAATACATATTATGGAAAAATCTCAAAATTGATGAATACATGAAAAAATTATAGTACTAAAAAAAAGATGTTTTATGTAGGGATTCATCAGAATATACATTTTGGCCAATAAGGATGATCGATAATTATTTATGTAATGATCAATTAAGATGTAATGACTGATATTATAAATATATATCCTTTTGTTTGTTGTTTAAAACAAAGGAAGCGCCAATTTAGAATCATTCATGCTTTAAGACTTCATAATTTTATTGTACAGTTAGACGTATTTGTTTTAAACATCAGTTTGATTTTTATTTTTTTTTGTCCTTTCCAGCCTCAGGCATCACAAATTTCTTGCCTGCATCGAACAATTAAAATCATTGCCATTTTTGTGACAAAATCTGCTGAATTGATATACGCTTTGTAGTAGTAAAATATTTGTAATTGATGTTTAATCACCAAAAATGTTATATTTATCTGGATTTATTGTGTGCAACCTGGAGGAGTTTCACTTTTTTTGTGTGTCCTTGTTTCCCCTTCCAGGTTTGTTTGTTAATTCTAGTCATTTATTTATTTATTTTAAGTTGATAAATTTAGCCTATTTAATTTGAATCTTAATTTAAGCTAATTGAAAATGTCAAAAACGTCCAAAATTTAGGTTACAGGATTGCAAAATTTGCAAATTCAAAATGAAAAGAAAACATTTATTATATATTTAATTTGACATCCTGAGGTTATTGATCACCAAAACCTGAAGGTTTAGCACCGTTCACTGACACTTTGTTAAAAAAATGAACATTTTTGAACCCCTTTTTAGTGGAAAGTGCCATAGAACATGCATCCCTGACCTCAACAACATGTTCATGCATAAAGAAAAGATAGAAAGAGAAAGAAGCCCAGCATGAACAGAAGAATCATCATTGTCTGAAGACTTATGAACTCTTTCTCCTTCAAACACGTCCTTCTGCTGAATATGTTCTTTCTATCAATGCCTCTGTTTTCTGCATGAACTTCTTTCTATAAGGGAAAAACCAGGAAGCCGGAGAAGGTGGAGTATTTCCAGCCGCCCATCAGGTTTCCTCTCTCCAGTTTGAGGTAGGCCTTGTCTCCTCTCTCCATCGTAACCAGACCGGCGTTGGTCGCTGCTTCACGCGTCACATCCTGATCACCGGCGAAGGCCGAGACCACCGGCCAACCGTTCAACACCAGACTCACCTGCACGGAGAGCCAGAAAATAAGGACTTCTTATAATATTGTAATATTATTTTCAATAGAATTTTATGGCCATTTGTGCAGTGAACAATTATTGTGCAGTGTTGGCTCGCTGAGAAGCAAAACCATTTGGGGTACTGCTGATCCGAGCAGTTTTCATTAGTAGGAACATCTCTGTCACTACAAAGACAATTACAGGAATAGTTCACTTAAAAATGAGAATGTGCTGAAAATGAGCTCCCCCTCAGGTCATGTGAGATCAGGATGAGTTTGTTTCTTCATCAGGTTTGTAGAAATGTAGCACTGCATCAGTGTCTGCCTGAGGGGGAGCACATTTTTGGCTGAACTATTCTTTAAATATTCAGAAAATTTTAAAAAGACAGTAAGTATTCATAAAACAACAGATATTTTTCCTGCGTAAGTGTTCATGAATGGTACCCTGAATGGATCTTTTGACTCACCTGTATAGTTTGTCTGTTATAAACTTTCACCACATTGAAACTGAAGCTGTACACTCCTTTTCTAGGAGCCTGGAAAACACTCCGTGCCGGATCGAGATGACTCCCAACGTTCACCAGAACCTTTGATGGAATACAAAAAGACACATGGAAACCAGGACCCTCTGATGTTTTTCAGCACTTGTCGGCTAGTGCACTGCTGATAAAGCAGCTAAAGGAAGGAGCTGTCACATATCCAATGCTTCGTTACCTGGTCGAAGTATATGGTCATGGTGCGGTTGCTCATCTCAGACGGTTCGTGGTTGTTGTTCCGCACAGCCGAGAAGGCGATGCGGCTGCTTCCGGAGCGTACCGACATTCCCAAAGCATTCCCAGCAGGTTCTGTGGTTGGAGTGGAGTCGCAAACGACTAAACATTTTCCTTCCAGCACGATGGGCTCTGTGTCATTCTGGCCCCGAACCAGCAGGGGGCCCATGAGACAGAGAAGAGCTAACCATGTGCCACTCATCCTTCTCAGATGATTCTGATCCACCGGAGTATCTGAATACGTTGATGTTTTAGTTTGTCCTTTAGCTGTGTTTCACTGGCTGCTCCTTCTTTATATCCAGTGGTGAAACACTAGTGAACAAGGGCCTTCCCGTCTAGACCAAAAGACCAAGTCGAGATGCAGAGCGAGAAGGGCAGATCAGAAGATTTGTGTGCAGTTACACATTCAATTATTATGCACTTCAGCGTTTGCGTGTGTTGTAAGTCACTGGACCACCACTACTCACACAGACACACTGGCCATCTGGACCAGACATCCCTTATGAAGAGACCATCTGCCTTCCCATCATGCCAAACACACACACACACACACACACACACACTCACTCACTCTCACTCATAAACATGGTATTCCTATCATTATGGGTTCAATATATAATAATGCTGAGAAACGTATTTTTTTTTCCAAATATGAAATCATGAATATAGAAAAATATGAAATGATAAAATATATACTTTGTCATGACAAAGACAAAATTTAAATAGATTTACAGTGCATACTGTTGAATTTGAGTAGTGAGGGCCTAAAAAGTGAGAGTTGAAAAGCAAAGTGTAAAATAAAAAAAAATAATAAAAAAAACGTCTCAGGTTGGTTCCCTGAGTAGGGAACGAGACACTGCGTCCTCTAGGGGTCGCTATGGGGAATGCCTCGTCGTGACCCGTGTCTGAAGCATACATTGAAAAAACACCAACAACATGTTTGCCGGCGACAGCCATGATGTCACTACCGGTGCGACTATAGTATAAATAGGCGCCGGGAGCACACATCATCCCCTTCTTCGTCTGAAGCTTGCTTCCGAAGCATGGCAGAAAACCTAGAGGACGCAGTGTCTCATTCCCTACTCAGGGAACCATGGTTACATACGTAACCTGAGACGTTCCCTTTCAAGGGAACTTCGAACTGCGTCCTCTAGGGGTCGCTATGGGGAACGGTATACCCACGCCACCATGCTGAGGGGAGTGCATGCCAGAACCATGGTGAGCACTAAGTACCAACTCTACCATAGCCATGGGAGTTGCCCCTGGGACGTTAAGACGGCTGTCAGTGACATTATTCCCTACGGCCAAAGGTCTAGGCTACATACCCCAAAAACTTACCTGTTAGGGCCAGAACTCCTGGGCCCGGGGTAAAGCTCAAAGAGGACGTCGGGACGTCACTTTCTTTGACCGCTTCCACGGCATAAACCGCAAAATAACAAATGCAAATATTATTTAAATACATTTTAAAATGTTAAAACGTGCAGTAAAAAAACACCAATCAGACGGCGAATACAATATTGCGGATGTTCACACACCAATCAGATTAAGTGCTGTTTTAAAACACTCCGCCCACCGATGCGGAAAGTTCGTGTTCAGTTCAGTCAGAAGAACTTGACAGAGCTACGACTGTTGAACAGGAGACCGCTATAGATCGAGCGATAGAAATTAAGAGTGTAAATTAGCTGTTGGAACTGACTGACCCTGCTTTGTTTTGTCGTTTTTGATCCGATAATCCTGTAAGATCACTCGGATATAACGAACCAAACGCCGCGACCTTTGAAGCTCGTCTTTGAGCGCGAAGATCTGAATAACGGAATCACTCAGGCCTGTGAGGATTTACTCGGTGCGTTTTCCTCTGATTTCCCTTCAATATGGCTGATTTTGCGGAATATGGTTGATTTTTAGTGGGAAAGTTTAATCTGGATGCTAGAATTTGCCATACTTTGCTCATACATTGCTCATCGCTGTCTGTTGATATTTGGCCTGCTTTACAACTATTGCTGTTGGAGAAATGTATGAATTAAATGGCTTTTTTTTGCCTGAAATGTAAGTATCTTCCCTAAAAGAAGTTAACTGATTTGTGCAGTTTGAACAGGGCGTTTTGAATGAGGTTAAGTTCCCTTATTGCCTCCACAAGGTTTGTTTAGTTGCAGATGGTTTTGATGGAGGGATGTATTTACATGCACTAATTTTCTTTATTGAACGCTAATTGTTGCAGTCCGATTTACATTCATTTTGGGGCATTTTTTTCCACTTCTGAATAAAAAAATAAAAAAGGTAATTGCAACTTTTTATCTCACAATTCTGACTTTTTTTCCTCGCAATTGCGAGTTTACATCTCACAATTCTGACTTTTTTTTTCCTCAGAATTGTAAGATATAAAATTAAAAATTCTGAGTTGTAAAGTCAAAATTGTGAGATATAAACTCGCAATTTTGAGAAATAAAGTCGGAATTGCGTGATACAAACTCACAATTCTGACTTTTTTTGTCAGATTGGCGAATTTAAATCTCGCAATTCTGACTTTATAACACGCAATTGCGAGAAAAAAAAAATCTGAATTATGACTCGCAAGTCTTTATTTCCCCCTCAAAACTGGACTTTATAACTCACAATTGCTAGTTTATATCTCACAATTCTGTTAAAAAAAAGTCTGAATTGTGAGATAAAAAGTCACAATAACCTTTCTTTATTTTTTGGCGGAAATGGGCTTCCATATTTTGGGGACCTGAAAAATGGTTTTCAAAGTTTTTTTAAAAATGATACCGTTATCGGCTGTGTAAATTACAAAAACACATATTTGTGAAAACAGTGTTCAATCTGTAGTCCTGCGTACAAAACAGTGTTTTTAGTTGGTTTTATGAATCCGTCTGAACAGGCTTATTTTGACGAATTGTGTTAATACACAGTGCTCGCAAAATTTCAAAATCTCTGGTACCCCTTCAGGCAGGAGTTCTTCAGATTTTGGTAGCCCAAAATGAATTTAACCAGTCCGAATAAAAAAAGACATCAGTTGAACTTCACTACGGACAAATCAGCATGATCAAAAACTTAAGTGACTATTTTTTTCTTCAAATAACAAGTCAAGAGAGTAGGGGTGCAATGTATCACAAATATTGCGGTTTCAGATCATATTACACTATCATATCAAATTTTGAGTCACAGATTGGATAATTTTTCAGATTAGCAAAAAAATTGGTTCTTTATTATTTAAAGGGGTCCTATTATGTTCTTTTACAAAGTCTTGATTTTGTTTTGGGGGTGTACTAGAACAGGCTCTCATAGGGCTGCTGTGACTAATAAAGACATGACTACGGCAATATACGGTTAATCTGAGTTCTTAAAATTATAATTTTCATTAAAATAAAGTATATTTATAATACAATGCCTTTATCACTGCTTAAATACTATGAAATATGTTGCATGCCTTATTCTGTGTAAGAAGCCACATCATCTCACAGAAGGATTTATTTCAAACACTCAACTGACG